AAAAAATATTTTCATAAATTTGTAAATAGAACAAATAAAATTTATAATTTCATAAAAATGATATGGTTTATATTAATTATGAATAAATTTAAGTTCTACAAACTTTGCATATTATTTTATACCATTACAATGTAAAATATTATTTTTGAACGCTTGGAAATTTTTTAAGCACATGGTTTTAATAATTCCAGAGGAATGTGGCTTTATATAAAACATTATTTATACTTTTATGATTAGAGCCTTTGGGCAATAACCCATTTTAAAAGCGTTTTAATTAAACTGTTAAAGGTATGTGTTATTTTATTCAGACTTAATGTAGTATAAAATAATCAAATACCACGAGAGTTTTTAGTTCTACAAGCATAAACTTTTACTTTATTGTTTTTATACTTCTATAAATCTTTTTAAAACCATTTGGTTTGTAATTTATTCAAATTTTATTATAATTATTAAAAAGTAAATTTCAAATCGCGATGTTAGAATTATCTTGTTCTATCTCCACTTTTTTTAAAAATTGAGTTATTGATAGGGCTATGTACCTCAGAATAATGTTTTTCTATTGTATTGAAACCTAAGTTATAAGTAAAAAAGTTGCAAAGAAAACGTAAGTTAAAAAGTTGTTTTTTTATGTCGTCTCCTAAAGTTTTTATTTTTTAAATCGTTTTATCTCAAAACTCCAAAATGTGGAGATAGAACAAGATAATTCTAACGTCGTGAAATGTTAAAACATATATATAAATGTTTTTATTTATATATAAATTTTCATGGTTAAATTTTATGGAATAATTAAAGACGAATAGAAGAATGGCACTAAAATTTAGAATAAATATTTATTTTATTTATAATATTATTAACATACGGATATTGCTTTTGTTACAAAATTTAAATTTTTAAAAAAATTTAAATTTTGTAACAAAAGCAATTAAAATATTTTTTTAAGCATTTATTTGAATAAAACACCAAATAGTGTTATATATTGACTAGTTTAAATTTAATAAACATTTAAAGTCATGGGCCAAGGGAGATGCCCTCCCTACCCACAGGAGGCCCCTCCGCCCCCTCCCCAAATCTCCTTAGAATTTTTTTTTTTTTTTTACATAAAATGAATAAATAATAGTTGATTGTTAAAATACATTTTAAAAACATATTTTTTCAGTTTAAGTTTGAGAAACGATTTATTTGCGTTACTTCAAATCGATAAATACTTACCTCTTATTTCAAAGATCTTTTTACGATTTTAAGTCATAAATTTCAAAAACAAATGTTTTAAAATGTTTTTAAAACATATTGACAATGAATATCTTTATGTAGTTTTAGACTAATATAGTCATTGACATAATAAGATGGGAGTGATTTGTGATTTATTTAAACCCCCACTCCTCCTTCTCAGCCTACAATCCAAGGGTTTAAAAAAAATAAAAGACATTTAAAATGCAAATTAGGTAAATAAAATATAAACAAAATTATTTTAAGCATAATTAATTTTTTTTTGTAACCAACAGTTTATATTCTCCAAATCTAAATCAGTTATGTTGTATGTACGACCTGATATTGTTGTGGGTGTAGAAATTAGGCATATAACTTCAGAATTGAGCACCCAACACTCGTCAGTTCTTATTGGCCAAAAGAAGTTTTTACCTGGTCCATGTGGATGCATGAATCTGACTTTTATATCAAGCTCACTTACATCTTCAGCAATCCCTACCCACCAAAATCCATCATAAAAACATGCAATATAATCCATTTTTTTAATATTTAATGAAATATCTACATAATGTTTGCTTTTTGGAATGATATCAAATATTTCAGTGCATGCATCAATACTTATTTTATTTATAACTTATAGTGTTTTGAGCAATTGGAATAAAATGATGATACATCCTTGTGCCAGGAACTGTTCTTCCACCTAAACATCTTTTTTCTAATTGTGCTCGTGTTTGATCAATTTCTTCTTTTGAAAATAACTTAAAAGAAATTCCATTTATCTTGGCTTTACAAAAGGAGTACATTAAATTAACATCTAAAATCTGCCCAGTAGTTATTTGTTTTAGACTTTCTTGACATGCTACTCTTTTAACAGTCCCACCAATACCATCACAGGGGGATTTACCATGACTGGTAGCAAAAAATACCCATTCAGCATTTAAATCAAAGTCTTTACTGTGATGACAAAGATTGATAAAATTTTTAAAATTTTTAAATTGTGCTGCACAACCATCAGAAAAGTATTTCACACTTGATACATCAGGTAGATTTTCTTTGATATATCTAGTTATATCTTCCTGAGTCTTGTAAATAAATCCTGTGTCATGATCAACATCTTCCGAAAGGTAACAAAAAGATTTATGTTTGAGAAGTTTGTTCTCTATAAAATAAAGTACAACTGTATAAAGTGAGCATTGACTTTTGCTCCAGTGATTACTTTGAACCTCATCCTGAACAACATATTGATAGTTTTCAGCAAAATCTCCTAAAATTAAGCATTCGTTTTGGTTAAGATTTTCTTTACAGTTTTTTAAGTATCTACTTTGTGTTTTTGCAATATATGAATGAGTGGTAAGGTTGTCAATACTGTCACATAATAAATCAATAAATTCATCTAGTGGCAATGACTGTGAAAGTAGTGTTGTACGATCTGTACTCTGCCATTGCTTAAATACTACATCTTCTTCATGCTCATGGTCCATAAACTCCTGCACTAAAAAACTTTTTAACGCTTCAATACCAGGACATTGGTTACATCGATGCAACATACATTCTGCATTTTCAAGAGAGCAAACAATCAATGCCATGAAATCTTTATAACTTTTATTCCACCTAATGGCATCAATGAGAAATTTTGTATTTTGGTGATGTATGCAAAGACATACATTGTGGGTACCTGACGCATTAGTTGTAATACACCATTTAGGTTTAAGAGTACAAAACTTTGACAACTGACTTTGACGTTAGGGTAGTCTTTTTTAAATGCAACATGTAATTCATTAAGATTGAGTAGCAATAATCTTTTTTGAACATGTTGGTTTTTCTTAATACTTACATAATCTTTTTTTCCTGGCATCATTCTTGAAAATTCATCACTTTGATAAAAGTTAATCACTAGATTAACTGTTTCTGGTGAAAGTGGGTTTCCAGTTTTTTTCCCGGGTAATGATAGAATTCCATTCTCATTTTTAACTTTTCTTGCTGTTCGAACAAGATACTCAGACACTTCAAAGTAGCTTGATATCTTTTTATGTGTCTATGATTTTGGTGCCAGTGTTAACATTAGCACCTTATGGCGATAAGAGTCAGTCTCTGAAATTTTTTTATTTATTTCATACATTAAAATGTCTAGATCATGGTCATTGTTAATGTTGTTGTTTAAAATGGGGCTTTTTATTTCTGTTGTTAAAAAAGTTTCTTTAATATTATATGCTAATGAGACTATTTTTGCAACTCTGTCAATAGTGTTCTCAAACTTTTGTTTTGCTACAGGCAATTTGCTGTGTTTTGAAAGACTTTTTAGTTTGACCGGTGAGATTCCAAGCAATTCTATTGTGGTATCTAACTTAATTTTTTTCTCACTTTTTGATTCCCATTCCTCCTGTGAATTTAAATCTTCATCAGTTTCTATTGCTTTTTTGTAACATTTACTGCAGAATTTCCAACCTGGGGTTACATAAACATTATTTTTTTGCAAATAGTTTGCCATGTCTATGGTAATCTTTATATTACCTAAAAAACAAATTTAGTTTTACGTTGTTAAAATAACTGAAATTATAAAACTTTTTATAAATAATAAATTGTTTTCTTTTAATTTCCATATCAATTTTGTTGTAAATAAGGTAAGATTACCTTTTATTGCAATTTTTTTACTTTCCTTGTGTGTTCCAAAAGGATTGCAACACTTTGTAATTTTTCTCTCAAAATATTTTCCATAGAATTGCTCATGATAACAACATATAATTCTTATTGAACTATATTTTTCCTTTAAATTTGCTCGCCATATTATTTCTTCTTGTTTTTCACAAGGAAGATCTTTAAATTGAACAAAACCTTGTTTTCTTGAAAATCCAGTTTTGTGGCAATGAATGTTAAGACTTTTTCCAATGTCACATTTCTCCATATTAATTATTTTTATTACTTATTACCTAACAAAATAATATAAAAACTATAAAATTAAAAGTAATTCTTTAAGAAAATACAAACAAGTAAATACCTTTAAAAAGAACAAAACAAAACTTATGTTTGTTTTTTATATAAAGGGAGGTTTTAAGTCACCAATTTGAAATAATGAAATTTTTTTTTTTCAAAATTAAAATTAAATTGTATGTTTTTGCATTATTTATTCATTTTATGCAAAAAAAAAAAAAAAAAAAAAAAAAAAAAAAAAAAATCTAGGGAGATTAGGGGAGGGGGCGTAGGGGCCTCCCATGGGAGTGGAAAGTATCTTCCTTGGCCTAAATGTCCTAAACTATTCAATAAATGACACTATTTGATGTTTTATTCAAATAAATGTTTTAAAAAATATTTTAATTGCTTTTGTTACAAAAATTAAATTTTTCTAAAAAGACACCATTTTTAAATGCAAATTTTGATCACGTATTAGAGAGACAATTGATGAATCTAATTTTTTTCAGTAGACCTAAGATGAAATAATGATATACAATTAAAATTTTTACTCGAGATTTTGGGCCACAGTCTTTATTTTACCTCCAAAAATCACTAATTTACAAGTCAATAATTTTGAACAAAATTGGATAAATGAGGCATTTCTTGAGATAATCGAGTCTTAAGAGTGCTCTTTTTGGATTCCTTAAGTTAAAATCTATTAGAGTACCAAATTTTAGGAAATTTCCCCTAGCCATTATGAAGATACTGTTTGTCAAAGTTGCTTTGTAGTCGCTTCAGAAAATCACTAAAATGCTGAGTCAGCATTATTTCAACTGAAGATATCTCTGGCACCCATTGGTATTTTCAACTAAAATTTTTGCAGTTATTATTTTTTTGATATGGACTGCAAGTGGTGTAAAAATAAACAAATTCTGAGATGTAAGGGTGTCATGGTCTGGATGATTTCATATATTTTTACCCTATTGTTAGAGATATAGCTTAAACTTATGAACAAAAAGCAGTTTCTTTTTACTGTAGGTGTAAAGAATGTATTCAGATAGTTAATATCAAAGAATCTGAAATACAATACTACTAATGCCAAAGTTTGGTCACCACGTAGCTGTCATTTAAGAAAAAATATTAAAAAAATCATGCGAAAATCAAATTTTACTAACTTTTTTTTCTAAAATAATATTTGTAATTAGTTCGTAAAGATGAATCTATAAAATAAAATTTAAAAAAATAATGTTTATATGGGAGCTGCTGAAATAATTCTTTAGCAAAACAACAATTACAAAAAATGCATACTGTTAAATTCTAAAATAAACAAATTGTTAAAATAAATGATCATATTTAATCTTAGTATTATTAAGAATCACAAAATTTTTTTAAAAAATTAAAAAAAAAATTAATAATTTTTGAAAAATAAATACTTTTTTTTATAAAAAGTGATATTTTATAATTCTCTAACTTTGGTCATTCACAGATATAAAACAAATGAGCCAATTAGCAGTAATATTGTTCTAAAAAATATTGTGCAAGAATTGCCAATAAACATACAAAGCTCATTTAAAGCAAAGTAGTATTTTTTTGTTAATTGATAAAACCTTTTTAAATTAATTGAAAAAATATATTTTTAATTTTATTAACCAGTAGCGTAGCAAATGTGATAATGGCCAAAGTAATAAAATAGTTGACTAATGACAATAAAAATTAAAAATACTACTACTTATATTTAAAAAGGCATTTTTTATGTGCTCCATCTTGTTTTTTTTGGTGCCTCAAAAGACTTTTTTTTTTGAGCCTGGCGCAACACCTTCCTTAGTTTCTCCTTAGAGTTAAATATCCTCAAATATTACCTGAATTTATATCATTATTTTACAATAAAACATTTAAAAATTAGTTTTCATTATCTGCGACCTTAAGTTTGTGATACCTTATAAGTATTTATATAGCGGATGAACATATGAGGTGGTATTGAAAGTTCGGTCAAAGTAGATGTCTTCATTTTAAATCAAATATTGAGTACTAGTTTTTACTTTTCATTTTTTTATTTTTACAATATCAATTATCAATATTATTTTTTGTATGTTTCAGGAAAAAATTGAAAATTTTTAATTTATGCGTGATAAGTAAATGTTCAAATCTTTAGTTCAAATCTTTAGTTTAGGCGGTATTATAGTATATAAAAATAAACAATAAAATTTGCTAAAAAGAAGCTTTTGTTTAATGTATTTTTAATCGTTTTGTAAAGATTATTTTATAAAAATAGTTTAATATAATATAGACAATTCAATGATAACTTTTTTGTTATGTTTTTTTTTTTTTAACTTAATTAAAAAATAATTGAAATTTTAGGTTAACACAAAGCTTGTCATCTTAAATTCAATGATCAAATAAACAGGTTTTACATCTATTAATTGTTGTTTTAGGGTCAGTCTAATTTAAATTAAGATTGGTATAATCAGGGAATAATTGGATTTACTTTGTTCACATTGGATCACACATCTACTTAGCCCTTGGCAGCAATATACATTTTGTCATTCATTTGATTGATTAATTAGGTTTATTGTATATATTATCAGGGGCTATTCTAGGAAAATAATTTGGGTAGGTACCCCCCTTGTCCCTGTGTCGGCGCTTAACATAAGGAAATTTGTTGTATGTAAGCATTTTTTCACGAAAAAAACAATATTTGCTGTAAAAAAAAATGCTCAATTTCTGAATTTGGGTAGCGTTCAAATAGACGACGTTCAAATATGGTCAACGCTGTCAAAAACGGTTTAAAATTGCCCCTGATTATTTTGTAATATTTTTGTTTAAATTACAATTGGTGAACTTAAATTTCTTTTTCTTTTGACCAATCAAAACTTTCAGTCAAAGTATGTACACAGGGAGGCATTGTTATATTTTTCATGTTTGCTAAAATATAAAATTTCACTCAAACAGAATTTGTTTTGCTTTTGTGTTTTATTCATTCATGTTATTATTACAGTAGCAACTTTTTGAAACTTTTTTTTTAGTTGTTCTTCAAGCTCAAAAACAGTTCAATTAAAATAAAAGTCTTAATTGTATTTTAAAATAAAAGTGTTAATATTTTTATAACACAACAACTTTGGTTTTTTTCAAATCTAATGACTATATTTTAACAGGTGGACCTGCAATCTTAACGCGCACCTTTCCGTCTGTGTGGACACTTCATGAAAATAGTGAACATAATCCATCTATTCAAGTTCAGGGAAAACCAAAACCTAATGTTGAATGGTATCTTGGAGATACTGATTCATTACCTGGTAGTTCTATTAGCTTAGATAACAATATATATATTTTTTCAGCAAAATTTAAAGCTGATGCAGGTATCTGTGGTAGTTATCTGAGATATAAAGTTAGTGGCGTACAAGGAACCATCAGTGCTGAAACACAAATAAGAATACACTGTAAGTTTTTTTAAATTATTAGTTCAACATAGTTTGTGAATAATCTTTAATTATTTGAACAGTCTTTTTTTAGGATGGATCCCCCCCCCCCCTCCTTTTTTTATCTAAAGAATTATTGGCATCAAGTTAAAAAGCAATATGTTTATCAATTTAAGTGTTTTCATCATTCAGTTTTATTTTAGGACAGGAAAAAGAACAACAGATTTTATTTATTGTTAGACAAAATTTGAAAAACTTTTGGAAAACAAAATACTCAAAATGGAAGTTGAAATAAATAGTGGAAGAAAGATAGAGTGTGTAGATAATTATGGTTTTAATTTTGGTGCAAAAGAGGCGTTTAGGACAAAAGCTAGGTGTCAAGTTCAGAGAAATACCATCAATTCAGATTGCAAGAGGTGCATTGATAAAAAGCAAAGAAAAGTTATCCTCCACATGTGTACAGAGTGTTATGAGGTATGGCAGTTAATTGTGTTCAGTGCTTTGAAAATACAGAGAAGATGGCGATCGAATGAATGGTGTTGTGACTCTAAAAGATAAGTAAAGAAAAAATGATTTTAAATCATTTTTTTGGAGTAGTGTCTGATAGAATGGATTAAGAAAGGTTGAGATGGTGATGATTCCAATAATTAAAACAGTTTAAACTAAATGCCATATTTAAAAATAAAGTCTTATTTTAGTGAATGCTCAAGGGTATTATTTTATCAAAATTGTAATTTTTTTCTAATTATTAAGTTGTGTTTCACTTTTTTAGTCAAAGAATCACCTTTATGGATAAAAAAGCAAGATTATTGCATTAGTGTTGATTGGCACCTTAGACAACATGGAAATTGTTCAACAAAATATGTAATTAATTTCCTTAATAAAACATTGAATAAAGTATACACCAGTACTGTTTCTTCACAAGTTAATTCAGTTAGGCAATGTTATGGAACTATACAAGAAGTTAATGAAATAAGTGATGTTAAGGTCAAATTGGTCCACAAAGATTTTGAAAATGATCTTCTAGATTTATCATATCCTTCTGATGAACCTAATTATCATGAAAAAGTAGCTCCAGGTACTCAACGGTTTACTAATTTTACAACAAATAGTTTTGCAGTGAGTAAAGAAGTTTTTTTAATAAACTTAACTTCAAACTTTTGACTATTTTTTTACATTTAGATTAAACTAGGCTACGAAATTTTTGAAAATTTCACATTAAAAAAATAAAAATTATTTGTAGGAAATCCACCACTTAACTTATTGACAATATCAGTTATAAGCGGTTGTGGAGCAGTCATTTTTGTTGTTATTGTGGTTTCTTTTATTTGTTTGCTAAAACACAAAAAACGTGAGTAAATAATTTTTGGAATGACTTGGATTTCTGAGCTTCATAGATTTTTTCGATTATTAGTAAATGTTTACCATAAATCGATTATTGATTTACTTGATTTTTAATATTTTGTTTATCGATTTCTCAATAAAAATATATCTAATATTTATGAGTGAAAAAATTAACTCTTATATTCTTAGCATAATTTTTATCTTATCTACCAGCCGTCAAATACCGGCTGTAAGCACTGGCAATACCGCAATACAATTAATTTCGGTAATGCGTTAATTTTCAATATTTACGCGTTACAAATGCTATTTTTTACAAATAATTTCGGTAATGCGTTATTTTTCGATATTTAAAGTTACAAATGCGATATTTAATTTGTTAATTGCGATGCTGTTATTTTTATAGAGCGAGTCGCTGAGAGATTTATTGTGATTTTATTTTTATCGAAAAATTGAGTGCGAATTAATGCGATTTTTTATTGCTTTTTATTGCATAATCGCTTTTCTTCAAACCGCCATTGCGGTAACGTCAGTGCTTAATCAGCTGTGTCCATTTTTATTTTGTCTTGACTATTTTTGCGAAGTCTTTGACACTTTTTTTTCAGAAAACAGACAACTTCGAAAAGAATTTGTCGGCGAAATCTCCCATCCGTTTAATAGCGAGCCCCCTAGATATGTTTTTACGGCCAATTCCAATGGTGAACAGGAAATGTTTCTAAAAAAGTCGAAAGCTGACTCTAACTTCTCATTAAATAGCCTTCAAAATACACATTATATGGTTCCAAGACCATATTCTGTTGAAGACCACGATTTTAACTATCAAACTATTGATGATAATATACCTGCTATAAAAGATTCAGTTTACACAAACATGACTCAAAGCGCTATAGCAACCAGACGTTGTTGAAATGAATATTTTTTGTGTCTATAAATAGGTGTTAGTAGTTTCCGCTAAGAATCAATGTACAAAACGATTGCAGTTTTGATAAAAAACTTTGATTTGTCTTTCCTTTAATTTGTTAGATTTACTATTATAATTGTTGTTTTTTATTGTAAATAAAATAATGTTAAACTTTACGATTACCATTTAACAATTTGTGAACTTTTACCAAAAATTTATCATTATATTTTTTTGTAAATACGAAATATACGTAAATTAAACATTATCTTATATCTATTAACAAACGTTTGACATTTATTAATTAATGACAATTTATTGTTTTTTAACGAATAATTAACAATTTACAAACGTTTATCTTTTATAAAAGTTTTGAACTTAAAAATGTAAATATGAATGTTTTGGAAAATAAAGTTAATAAAACTACGTTTATTAGTTCATGTTTATTGAACGTTTAAATGACCAGTATTGTGGTTTTTCATAAGAAAATACTTGATTTATTTTTTGTCGTTTTAAAGATTTCAGATTTAAATGGCCAGAACTGTAAAGTAAATAACGGCGAAATAATCATTAAAATTGGCATTCTGATCACTGAATCACATCTATGTTATCATTGCACCACAGCTGCATAGTTTCATAACTATTGCGCCATGTCTACGTTATCATCACAGTTGCATAGTCTACGTAAAAGATAAAAATAATTTAAGTTAAATTTATTTTAATTATTTGATTTAAATTTAAAGTTATTAAATACAAAAGCACTTGTGCTAATTGTAAGCAACAGAACAAGTGAACATTGTATGCAAAAGCACAAGTGCACATTATAAGCAGAAGCACAAATAAGGTAAGCAAAAACACCCGTGCACATTGTAAACACAAGTAAAGTAAACAAAAGCACACGTGCACATTGTAAACACAAGTACAGTAAACAAAAGTACCTGTGCGCATTGTAAACACAAGTACAGTAAACAAAAGTACCCGTGCACATTGAAACAATAGTACAGTAAACAAAGGCACACGTGCACATTGCAAGCAAAAGCACACACGGTTTTAGTAAAGATTATGCTGATTTTAATAATCTTACGTTTTCTTTACGGCTCAAAGATTTTTTAAGCATGGAGTAAACTCACCATTTTTGCATTTTATGTACAAGTATCAAATGTTCTTCTATTGCGCATACAACTCTGCTATGGGATTTTGCCTCTGTCCTATATTGCGATTACGCTTTTAGATTAAATTTTATAAGCGCGTCTGAAATTTTTTTTTTTTTTGTTATTGAGATACCCCAAAAAGACCTAATGGTCTTGTCACAGAGCACCGCAGAAGTACAATTAACCAGGAAGTTCACACCTCTTTCCTTGCCGTCGCGCGAAAATATGTCCAGAAGCTCGTTTCGAACCTGGACATATTTTTTCATTTAATTTTACTAAATCTCCTACTTTTTTGTGTAATTCTATTAAGTTATAGAAATGTAGAGTTTTTTAGTATTGAAGCGAAAAATCACTATAAAGGATGTTTCTTAAAGCATTTTTTCAAATCAACTTTCTTTTAGTTTTAAACTAGCTTTTTATCTGAAATTATTTTGTTAACAACATTTTATAAAAAGTTTAGAACTTTTGAGAAGTTTTTTTAAGTATCTAAAAAAAAAATTAATAATATTTTATAAATATATACAAATTGCGGAAAATTTAAATTTTCTAAATTCCCAACATTAATGTTGGGTAGATACCTAAAAGTAGGCATCACTCGTCCAAATATTTAGACGGATGAGCCAATTTTTAGGTATTTTGTTCTCAGGCTCTAATCAGGGCAATTTTTAACATGAAAGCTTTATATGACATAAGTATGAACATTTGAAAGTTTAAAATTTAAAACTTTCCTAAAAGTTACTGAACTTAGATATCGAAAAGTTCTAGATCCACCCATAATTATCGAATTTAAATTATTGAATTAATTTCATTTAAAAGATGCATTACAAGTCTGTAATGTGAGTCTAAAGATAAATCGAACCAAGAATCAATTCATCGAAAACTGTGCATAAGTCATTTAATGTTTTAAAAGTTTCTTTCTTTCTATTATTATGTTTTCTTTCCTTTCTATTGGTTTTCTATTGGTTTTCTATTGGTAAGATTTAATTGTTACCCTTAGAAAGATTTAAGATTACAAGATCCAATTCTATTGATAAGTAACTTTTAATTTAATAATAGGATTGACTATACCGTATGGCTTTCTTATATCTAAAAGATTGCAATAGTTAACTGTGTCTAATTCTTTGGATAAATCAATATATACTTATCAACTAAGTTTATCTAAGTCGTTGACAATTTGTTCAACTTTTTGAATAACTTCATGCTAATTAAAATAAGTTTTTTATAATTTTCTTTTATAATTTACACAATTGAACAATTTTGTTTGAACAAAATACAAAAAGTAATAGTTTTATAATTTTTAATGTCTGGAGAATAGTTTAATTTAGGCATTATCTTTTCTAATTTAAAAACATCAAAAAATTGAACTTTAGTAAATGCTTCAAAAGATAGAACAAAAGTCAATATCAGTATACGGAATAGAAATCAGCTTGAACTAATTTTGTATATAGAGTAAAAATAACTAAAAAAAGATTGAAAATGGATTTTATACCTTTGTGTATTGTTTATAAAAAAATGATATGTTTTAAATATTTTATAGCTCGAATCTTTGCAAAAAATGGCGTCATTTAAATATTTAAGGTACATTTTAAATGATTCTGATGTTGGGTAGCTTAAATGGGGGTATGTTAATGGTTAAATGGGAACATGTTGAAACATTATATTTGGGGTTTGTTTGAACTATTTGGTAACAAGAGTTTTAATTGTAGAAAAAACATTACAAGAATTTTATAAATTATATAAAAACGTTTGGCTTATATTAGACATTTTAATACCATAGGCTTTGAAAAAAGTTGATTTAAATAATAAAATGACTTCTTGATAAATAATAAAATGACATCATCATCTTTGAAAAAAGTTGATTTAAATAATAAAATGACTTCTTGATAAATAATAAAATGACATCATCATCTTTGAAAAAAGTTGATTTAAATAATAAAATGACTTCTTGATAAATAATAAAATGACATCATCATCTTTGAAAAAAGTTGATTTAAATAATAAAATGACTTCTTGAAAAATAATAAAATGACGTCATCATCTTGATAAATATGGGCAAAAATAAGTTTGCCAGAAATTAAGAACAAAAAATAAAATTGAGAAAAATAAAAGAAAGCACTACAAAAAAAAGTACACACAAAAGTTAGGCCTAAAATATTTTCAATCCTGTAAAGAACAATCAAAAGAAATGGCGAGATAAAATAAAACTTAAAAACAGTCAAAACCTTGTTCAATCAACCAGTATGCATATACAGTCAAAGGCAATATATACATACAAAGACAATATATATATATATACAAAAAATAACATATAGCAACTTCAGCTTAAACATAAATAACAGTAGCGTTCAAAAGCTTATTAAAAATAGTTGCATAGTAAACACTTTATGTTTAACTAATTTAAATGAAAAAAGTTTGGAGAGTATAAAGAGATTGTGGTACTAGTAGGTTCTCATCATGTGAGAACCTACCAGTACTAAAAACAGAACCTACTCAGTCAGCACAAATACTTATGCGTAATAGATACATTTTAAAGTATTTTAAGATGTTTTTAAAACAAATTACTTTGATATTAAGCGTTTTGATGTGTATTTGATAACAGACATGCAAGATATATTTTAAACGATTTACGACAAGGAAACAGAAAACCTTCAAATTAAAGTACATGTTATTGACGTATTTTTTGTCTACAATATACAAATTATTATCTGTCTAGTAACCTGCTTTTTTATTTTCCTCATCGAAGCCTAGGCTGTGAGAAAAAAAAACTTAAAAGCTTTCATGAAATTTGGACTTGTAAATTGTTCATTAAAAATTTTACGCATTTTCAAGAAAATTAAAAATTCGGGCTTTTTTTCTGACAACCTTTAGTGAACTCACTTAAACTTAATTAAAACACCGAATATATATTTTTTTGATTTTAAAGTATCAAATATTGATTGCACGTATGCCTTGAAACCCCTCCTGTCAAGCAATTAAAAGTTTATTTTGCAATTTATTGTACAATTTTATCTCAATTTTATCAATTTCTTGTTCAGTGATTATAATTTGCATTTCTTGTAAAATAACAGTGTGTTTCATTGTTTTTTATACAAAACCCTATATATTATACAAAGACATCCATTTTCTGCAATTGAATAGTGTTGCGTATAAATGTAAATTCCTTCATTTAAATATTTTCTTTTGCAGATACCCAGTTTAATCTAGTAAATATATCATAACTATGTGTGAACCAGTCACATTTCTAGATTGTTCTCTTAGCTTTGTTTTGTAACTTTGATAGCATTTGAATATCATATTTATTTGCATCAAAGAATAATAAAGCCCAATATTCAAAATGAGGTGCGATAATTGTACCACCTACTCAGACACCTGGCAATTCTCAAATGATAATTATTCATCTTAGCGATTTCGACTCTCACAAGATAACCACTCATCATAACAATTTCGGCTTCAGTATACCTTATGTGTTCCAAAAAAATTCAAATTGCAGTCAATTTTAATACCAAGGTATTTTACACATTCACTGAACTTAACTATTTGATTTTCAAGCTTGATACATATGCTAGGATATTTTTCAGTGATACTTAAATATTTTACTCTGAAACTTGTAATCAACATACTCAATAACTTTATCATAAACTCTTACATTCAATGTAGACTAATGTGTCATCTGCTAAGAGAATCTGGTAGCATTGCCAAAATCATTTATGAATATTATAAATAACAGAGGCTTTATACCGATTCTTGTGGCACACCTACCTCACAGGGTATTTCAGCTGATAAATGGTCAATAATTCTAACTTTTTGAGTTTTTCCTGTTAAGTAGCTTATAAACTAATGATGTACTAGTCCTCCTAATTTGTAGCACTTAAATTTTTCAATTAATATTTAATATTAATTGTTTCAAATGCTTTATTTAAGTTTAACGGTAACAATGAACATACTGCTATCAATTGCTGCCTTCCATTTTGAAATGAGTAGTTGAACTGCTATTTCAGTAGAATGATTATTTTGGAAGCTTTTATTAAATAGCATATTTTCTTTAAAATAAGTAGGCAACTGTAAATGTGCACATAATTCAATAACTTTCTCAGATACTGCTAATTCAATAACTTTCTACTGATACTAGTTTCTTGCGGTAATTTGGGCGATGTCAGTTTCTGTATGGGTATTATAGTAAATTTTCTCAAAGTTTTTAAAGATAGATTAATTAATCTTAGCAAATTTAAACTTATGGCTTGATATACTTATTTTTTAAATTGATCTTCAAATCTAATTTTTTTTATCTTAAAAGTTGCTTACTATTTTGCC